ATACAGAAACTGAAACACTGACAAAAGCAGGGAGGTTGACACTTGTCAGAAACACTCTTTCAGCACCACCTAGTGAATCCAGCATAATATTTTCCAAGACTGTAGAAAAGCCAGCTCAATACTTGAATAGTTAAGTGAGCACGGAGCTGGTTAGTTCAAGGTAGTTGATGCTAATTTCTAGCCAATTTTATCCAGTATTATCTGACAACTGGTATTGGGCACCAATGAACTCAACTTTCCAGGAATGTCCTGAGAACTAGCCAAGTTTGGCTTTCTTTCGAGCAATTTTATTTGATTTAGCTACATCTTTAGACTATAAAAGGTAATTGTTAACTAGAATTTTGGTTATTTCAACAGGAGGCAGTCCTTCAAACTGTCAGCGTTATTTTTGAAGACCCAGGTGTACAGGATCTACTAGTGAAAGTTTACCAAAAAGGTAATTCTTTTGCAATATTAGTTCCAAACTGTCATTTCTTCTGTTGTTTGTGTCATGTTCTTGATTAGATTTGGAATTGAAAGCACCAGCGACTCCTGTTCCCTTGTGAGAGTCTTATCGACAAGCCCAGAAAGGCACCCAGAATTTTCTAACATGTATGCTTACACAATTAAATTTGTGCTTAGGACCAAGTATAGCCATCACCGATGTGTGATTTGGTGAAACTGATATATTAGATTTTGATGTACCAAGGATCATATACAACACTGTTTATATATTTTATGTACTAGTCTTTTCTTGTTTACAGTGTGTTCCTGAGTGTTTAACCTTAATGGGTAGTGTGCACAAGTGTTTTTTTTCGTGAGTCTCTCTCTCTCTCTCTTTTCTAACATTGATTCTTTTTATTTATTCAGATTGGATGGAAGGAATGGTTACAGAATATCTTGTCGCAACATTTGCTGATTATTTTGGGGATGTCAAACAGTAAGTTCTCATATAATTGAATATAAGTGGTATGGAACGGAAGGATACATTCCCTAAGAAATGCTGACTTATGTTTATTTTATTTGCCTATGTCTTCATTATGAATATATGATACTCTACACATTTTGAGAAAATCTCATCCTATCAAATTGTGTGCCACGACGTGAAAAATCTCAACCCCAAATCTCAAGCATGAACCATTTTCATACATTGTTTGCCAAATAGTGAAAATGTGTAAATTGATAATTTTCCAAATGCAAGTGAGAATTCTCAAAAAGTATATAAACATAGGTAGCTCCAATGCAATTTTTACGTACACTTTTTACTTTTTTTTCTTTGTTATATAAGTTCTATTCTTAACCTTTTGTAGATCATTTGTGTTCCTTGTGGCATGTAAACGGTCACTTATTCCTGATAATAGTTAGTCATGTTTCTTTCTATACTTGATTTGAAGACTTCCGGGTCTATTTTTTCTAGATATATTGAAGAAAGATCATTTCGAAGATTTGTGGAGGCTTGCCTGGAGCAAACAATTGTGGTATACGTTGATCATCTCCTTACTCAGGTTTGCAGAACTGCCCTTAGTACTGAATAGTTGTATACTTGGCCAGTTGTGGTTCTCTGTACAAAAATGACTGTTAACAAAAATATGAATTGGAAAATGTTTCATAAATCATTCTGTACTGAGCTGTTGCTGGGTCAGACAATCTTTTTACCAATTACACCCATCATTTCACACTACATGTCTACTTATCTTATGCAGCTGCTGGCTGGTAATTTATTTCAAATTGATAATATGTATTCCCTTTGCACCTCCAGAAAGGCCATATAAAAGAAGAAACAATCGAAAGGATGAGGCTTGATGAAGAAGTGCTTATGGATTTTTTCAGAGAACACATTAATGTGACAGTAAGTATACTTGCAACTTCCATTCATGTGGCTTTCATTCAAAGTCCAAGCTACCCACGATACCATGTATTTTGTGCTATTGTATAATTAAACTGGATTTTACAATTTTAGCATCGAACATCTGTAATCCTAGACTTTTCTTCACAAATGCTTATTTGTTGGTTCTGTAACTTTAACCACTCTATGATTTTGTGCTCCAGAAAGTTGAAACCAGAGTGCGGATTCTGGCTGATCTAAGGGAGCTTGCTTCAGCTGAGAGTCTGGATAGTTTTACTCTCATTTATACAAATATTCTGGAACATCAACCAGATTGCCCGGTAATTTTTTCAACAAGCTACTCGATTTTGCCAGAAATTAGTGGTTTAGTAGTGCATTCATTTCTGTTGATGTGCTGAACTTGATATCTACGTTATGTAGCCTGAGGTTGTTGAGAAGCTTGTGGGAATGAGGGAAGGCATTCCAAGGAAGGAAGCCAAAGAGGTAAGAACATAACATTTTTCACATCATATGCATGTGCGGTTCAATTTTGTGCGAAACAGTGCAAATTAGACCTATTCCAGTGGTCAAATTATGCCTTTTGAAAGTGATTAGAAAAACTGTTAGTCAGAATTTTTTAATTGATAATTACGTGTTCACTGTTCATTCCTCGTTCTTAGGTTGTACAAGAGTGCAAGGAAATATACGAGAACTCTCTTGTAGACGGGAACCCTCAAAAGTCTGGTTTTGTGTTTGGCAAATTGAAGTGCCTAACAGCACGGAAAGGCATATGGAGCAAGCTTGGACAGTAAATGATGCTGCGACTTTCGAGTAGAGTGAATTCACGCCCTAAGAGAATTGTTTCATGTTCATGTGATAATTCTTTTGTTCATTTGTTAAGCTTATGGTATTGTCACCATGCCCTTGTGTGATTTTTTGCACGGGAAGAGCTTAGGGTGTATATTCTCGTTGGTAGTAACAGATGATTTAAGTGTATAGATCTAATCTTTTTGAAATTCTATTTTTATCTATTCCATAAAGTGGTTGGAGCGAGCACTATAACTAAGCGCAAGCTGGCGGGCTATTTATGTGTGCCTTTCTTTCTACTCCCTCAGTCCGAAAAAAAAGTGACATATCTAGTACAATAAATCTAAACAGATATATGTCTAATTCGTAGTATTAGAATGTGTTACATTATAGTACTAGGTTGGTTTTTCGTGGGACGTAGGTTGGTTTTTCGTGGGATGGAGGGAGTACTTCAGTACTTCGTGACCTGTCTACTGGCTACTGACTTGGTAGTTGGTACGCCACATGCCAGACCAGATTGCGCGAAAGGATCGGTTAACGGACATGCTAGAGCGGCGCCTACCGCCGGCAAAAATCAGCCCGGTCGATTTCATTCGGGAACATACGTCTAAAAGAAGCGTGTGAATACTCTCGTTCTTGCTTTTGCTGCAGAAGCCACGAGCTTGCCGTTAAACAAAAATCATTCATGACTAAACTAATTAAAAAGGAACACTAGCATTGTTAACTGGTTATGGATGCTTTTCACCATCGATTTGCTCATTAACACAGTAATACCCTAAAAAAGAGATGCACAGATACATATACGAGTCCTTTCCTTGCTTGGAACTGGAGATGACAACATTGCCGCCGCCGACGGCGCCGGCGGCGGGAGTGCCACGGAGGGAGCGCCTTCGTGAGCTTTGCCATGGAGCACACCTGCATCTCCAGCGCCCCAATATAATCCGAGGGCCAGCAGCGTCGAGAACACAAGCTTTCGGAACCTTCGCCTTGGTCACCACATGCGGCCGTGCGCGCGAGCTCTGCCGGGGAGCGCAGGGAAGATCCGGACAAAGCCAAGGCCACTTCAACCCGGGACTCCTGCGACCTCCTCACACCGGAGCTCGACTGGCAGCGCTTGCCTTCTCTTCCCCTTCCAGCGGCGCTCCGGCTGTGTCGAGAGTGGAGACGGGCGGACGGCAGTCAAGCCTCTTCGTGGGCCGATTTTTCTTACGTGGGCCGCGACAGCTTAGCTTGTTCGTTCCTGTGTTCCATCGCTCCCGTCCGATGCCGATCGAACGAATCAGCATGGTCGGACGTCCCTCAGAGGATCCGGTTTCCAACCGGAACCACCTCCAAATCCATTGCGTCTGCTAAGCATTTCATGCGCTTGAGAAGCACAATCTAATTATTTTAGAGAAAATCTAATAAATGTCATCGATAAACTTAACTTTCTAAGTACAAGCGTTTTTGCCTTAGAAATGCCATCATTATTGAGTTTTCGTTAGCATTCCTATGTAAAGTGTTGTAATAAAATCATTTTACCCCTACAAATTATTAAAAGTTCACTAAAACTTTTACTCTTTCCATTAGTTTACACTAATTTGTAGTTTGCTCTTTACGCTAAATTATTTACGTTGATTAAAAGAGTAAAAATTTTTATTCATCTTTCAACAATTCATATCGGTAAAATAGTCTATTTATAGCACTTAACAGAGGGTTACTAACAAAAGCATAACATCATCATCCACTAACAATTATTACATCTTAAACATCATGTAAGCATGCTATATTATCTATAATTTTATAATTTATTAATTTTAATACAAGCATGTTTAATCATCATCCCACATAATTCACATAATATTTCAATATATCTCCAATCATACCGTGGAGACAAATTATAGTGGGCTTGCCATAGCACGAGACTATTGCTAATAGATAACTCATATTTAATTGTGCTAGAGAAAAATAAATAAATTACAATTTGTACATGTATCCTTAAAAGTTTTGATGTGATATCATCCTTTAAACATTCTTTTTATCTACACAAAAACGAACTTTACATTTTTGTTACAATTTGGACCACCTCATTCTATCCATCAAACTCCAAGTCCGGTGACTCCACCATCGCTCCACCTCCAAATCAGTGACTCTGCAATCACTCTGCACACTAACTCTCTCTCTCATTTTTCTTTTTTCCTTCGACAATTGGGGAATCGTCGGATATAGTAAGGAGGAGTCCAAATCTAGCATCTTCGCTTTCTGTTGGGTTGGCTCCTGCCTCCCCGAGCCCTGTAAGCCCAACAATCCCATCCTTAACGACGACCATGACAATAACATGTATAACAATGAGGGAAGAGAAAATACATGTCGAGATTTAAAGTGTATGGCTGCGCATACGAAGGCAGAGTGGAGTAACGATGGTGTGGTGCTGGTGTATAGAGCGACAGTTAGTTGCCAGGGATCCAAGAAGTTTATCGTCGTGAGTACTGCTGGCAAGTGGTTTACCAGTTATCGTAAAGAATTTTAAAGTGAAAATTTTGAGATAAAAGGTGGAGCACTCCGTTATCTCCCCCTTCCCTTGGCGTAAAACAAAATCTCCCGTCTCGTCGTCGCCGCCTCCGCTCCTTGCGCCATCTCGCGGCTGAACAGGGGAGGGGCGCCGATCTCCATTGGCGAGCAGAGCAGGGCGCGGGAGGGGAGGGGATCCTGGTGAGCATCCACATCCTCTTTCCGATTTATCTCTCTCTCCCACCGGGAGTACTTTTGTCTGGAATTTGCTTGCGTCCGTTAACCCTAGCTTCTCTTCTAGATCTGGAAGAATATCTTCTCTTAATTTCAGAGCCTTAACCTTAATACAAGTAACAGTTTGTTTGTTCCCCAAAAAGTTTAGGGGTTCAACTGAATCCCCGTGTCCCAAGTTGGATCCGCCCCTTCATGCTTGTGCTAAGTCTGCTGGACTTCCTACTCGCCATGGGTCTGCCTTAGTGCTAGCATACTGAATTGCTAGTGCAATTATGCTTGCAATTCATCTTTTGAGACTGTAACATTCGGGCACATTTTATTTGCCGTTCTCATTTGGTTTATCTTGGCAGAAAACACTTGGTTTCCCAAATGAAGCACATATTCAAGATAATTGCTATGCTGGTGGCAGTCTCAGCTATTTGGATTGCCCTTCTTGAAACCGCGACTGTTCCTCGAAGTTATACTTGGTTGGTCAGTGCTATCAATTTTCATCTCAATTTCCTTGATGATTGTAGTGCAAGATGATTAAGGATAAGGGCTTTATTTATGACTTTTTGTTATTGTAGCTTCCCATCTACTTGGTAGTGGCACTTGGATGCTATGGCCTTTTTATGGTTGGATTTGGGCTTATGTTCTTCCCAACTTGCCCGCAAGAAGCTGTACTACTACAGCAGGTTAGTTGTTCTAGATCCATGAGCCTAAAATTTCTGTGCATGGGCCTATGATGATCTTAATTAGTTTGAAACTAGGACTTCTATGACTTGAAGATGTTAGTTAGTATATACCAGTGAAAATTTTCGACTTCCTACTCTATCTCCCCCCTTTATTCTCTGTTGATATGAGAAATGGGTGTTCAAGGTATTATTATGTGATGTAAATGAATATTTTTAAAGTATGCAGTTTGCACTATGGTAACATGAAAATCTTCGCAATTGCCGTTGCATGATTCAAAGGAAACAACCCAACTGATATTGAGATAATTCACACTTCCATTCTGCTTCAAAGAAATTATTAGTCTATTCTCAGTTGTATTTACTTAATTTGCAGGATATCTTGGAGGCAAAGGAATTCCTATCAAAGAAAGGTGTTGATGTTGGCTCTGAATAATGTCAAGATCGATGATAGATGACTTGAGGCTAGTTTGGGGACAACTTTGTGCTCCCTTATATGAGTTGTTTTGGGGGCTTTATAGCTAGGTATATGTCACTTCGTAATGATCATTTTGCTAACACAATTTTTCATGGTGAGTCCTTGTTACATACTGAATTTAAGACCTTTTTCTTTTAGGAAATATTTTTTATGGAAAATGAAATATGATTGTGAAGTAGGAATGGTCTGTTGACAAGTGCATTACTGTTCAGGGTGTTTGTCTCCTCATTTCTGGATTTCCCTCTAGTGGTTATGTATCAATTGTGCAGTGTAATATTACCTTGTCCCTGGCACAGTGCTGAAACCGACTGCCTGAAATACTCTGTACATCAGATCGTCCATAGAAATTTCTCTGAATCTTTTGCATTACAACTTGTCAGGCAGGCACGAAGCCTTGACCAATATTACAAAACAATAGTAAAATCAGACATGATACACGTATACTTTTAAATTATGCAGTAAACCTATGCTAGTTCTTAACCCTATCTTGCTTATCTGACAGTAAAAATATCACACATCATCACAGTTCACACCAAACCTTGCCCCTATGAACCAGCTATCACACTGTACATAGTAAAACATTTTCAGTTACAGCACAATTGTGTGCAGATGCAGCAGACAGAATCCTACCTACTACTACCTTGAGGTAGTAGCAACCAACGACGAGACCTCCTTATTGGAGGCTGGTTCATCATCGTCTCCGACTCTCCGCCTCCTTGGAGCCCCTGCTTGCAAGAGTTCTCAGTGGTGAGTAGTGACATCGTCACAGCTGGTTGCTACTCCCTCCGTCACAAAATAAATCAATTCCTTATGTGTAGGTTTGTGGTCAGAAATTGATTTATTTTGGTATGAATGAAGTATGTATCTTATGTGCATGTTCAGAAGCAATGGCAGATGAAGAAGGAAGGCTTGTATGAGTAGATGACAAGGCCAGCTGCCATGCCAGCAAAAGCAACGAAGCAAATCCAATCAACCTGCAAATGCTCAAAATTTGATTAATATCAATTTCAATTTTAAGATTGAAGTATTGGCATGAGGTTATGGAGGGAGGAATTGATGTTCAGAGACCTCATGGTAAGCGAAGATAAGGATTAGAACAGCCCACATGTCCGAGGTCAAAAGCGAGAGGTTGAGCTTCAGCATTGTTGCCCCACATATCTGAAGCATTCAGCCCACATATCTGAAGTTACATACAACATTCAGGAATTTTATGAATTTGTGCACAAGAGGATCATGGTTAGTACCTTCAATATAATCGGTATTGTTGAGTTGAAGAAGAATATTGTTACCGCAAAAAATCCGATGAAAGGTAGAATCTGAAGAAAAAAAAGAGAGAGAAGGTTCATGAATAAAAATCATGGCTAACTGATCATCTATAATAATGCATCCCCTTCATGCTTATTAGATTTTTAGACATAGAATAAAAAATAACCTAGAACTGAAACATCAATTTTACCAATTAAAAATTTGGACCGTGTAAATTCGAAAATGCTTCCAATCGACCATGCGATGCGGGAGGAAATATTGGACTCTTCATCTTAGGTGGGTCCCACCGAGCCTTTTCTCCCTCGTCCTTTTCTCCTCTCTAGTCAACGTATCGATGCAGTCTTATCCTCATTCTTAGCCGCATATTCTCTCCTCTCTCCCCATCAACAACTTCCCATGGCGAGCGGCTAGGTGCTCGGTCGTTGTTGTCGATGAAGGTGAAGGCCGTGCTGGTGGGACGAGGACCACGCCGGAGGGAGAGGGAGGAGAGGGGCTGCGTACGCCGCCGTCGGGAGGGAGGCCGCCGCGCGCCAGATCCCGCGCGAGGGAGGGTGGTCGGCCGCCGGATCGGTGTGGGGGTTGGCCGTCGCCTGCTAGATCCCGCGTCTCGACCGCCGGAGGGGGCCGCCGTGCGCGGGGGAGCAAGGAGGAGGCCACCGCGCGCCGTCGCCCACACCTGCCGGTGCCCTCTCCTGCCGTCGCCGTCGCATATGCCCGCCACTGCTAGTATGGCCGGAATAGAAGAATAAAGAGGTGGATTTTGTTGGGGATTTTTAGTGATGTTGAATCATATTTGTATTTTTTTATTGCATTTTATTGTATTAAGGTGTTATATTTTCATTTTGACTCAATGTTGCATACATTGATTTCTTGGTGTTACAATCAGCATGTTTGAATGTTGCATTGTTGAAACATTTTTGCTCAAGCGCTGTATCATTTTTTGTTGGTAGTGAAACATCTGGAGCATAGTGTTGCAATCAGTATATTTGAATGTTGCATTTGTTTGAAACATTTTTTCTCAAGCACTGAAACATTTTTCGTTGGTAGTGAAACATCTGGAACATTTTTGTTGAAACATTTTTTAGCGAGGGATGAAACATGTGAAACATTTCTTGATAACACACTGCAACACCGATCTGTAGCAGTCTCCGTGTAAATTGCGTCGAGTACAATACAGGAGCAGGAAGGGCCTCAAGGGGCTTCACGATGCCCAAGCAAGAGCAAGCAGCAGGGCGTTGGCGTATTCCTCTCCGCTGCGGCCAAGCACAACGAGTGAGGGTCCTCAGTACTGCTCACTGACATGTGAGCTTCAAAGATCCTCGGGCCATATGTCAGTGAGCAGGACTGCGGAGGATCTGGATTGAAGCGCAACAGTCTCCGTCGTTGTGTGGAGATCGGCGTGCTTAGTCAGCTGACTCAGCTCCACGCGCTCGGTGGCCCGGTGGGTCAAGCCAATTTGGAGCACATGCTCGCGTTGCTCCTGTGCCGATCTCATCGGAGTATCCTGCCCTACCAGCGCCCCTACTACGGCGACGTCGAAGTATCTGTGACAATGATTAGGCGCCAACTACGGATTGGCCCATCGTTATCCAAAACAAAACCATGGAGGACGACGGTGAGTGGACGATTGAGAAGGCCAGTGCCCAGTTCGTCTCAGCCTCAGGATTCCGGTAGAATCTCCTGTGGCATTTTGTATTTTTCTGAGACCTCAGATGGAGATCTTCATCTTTTGGAACTAAGATGTTCAGCTGTTCAGTGAAGAACGAAGGCCAAAATCCCCAAGGTATTGCAACCAAACGCTGATTTTCTGATTAGCTCCATTATTCCTTTTCTTTACAGTTTACAAGGAAAATACACTTCCGGTTCTTTTCATCATCTTGTCGGTACAACGAACAAATAACTCAACAGCGCTACAAGGTAACACTAAGGTACAAAAAAGATCAAAATTCTACAAGGTCTGTATCCTCTGAGCACGTGAGTCAGCCTGGGAGTCACCAACCGGATTGTCAACGGTATGTTCAATGACAAAGTTCTCGATCTTATGAAACGACTGTAAAATGCCAAGAATGTTGTTAGGGAAATTGTTTCAGTACGTTAGAAAAAAATAAGATTCATATTGCTCCTGATTGTGGGTTCAGAATAGCTTATCATGCATACCTCAATAGCAATGTCAGTTGGTGTTAGCTTCGATACATCATCATGACCCTGTTTAGATGCAATCTCTGCAAGTTCCAAAAACATATATGTTATTCTATGCAGGGAAAAATGGAGTTATCAAGCATTACTTAAAAGTAATGTGTCGCACATAACCTAGCACATATTCTCTAAATGGGAAAGCGCGGATTTGCGAAAAACTTGTGAAGTTATACCTTCAAGAGAAACCCTCACATCAGCATTTGCATAAGCATCGCCCCTTTGCTCCGCGAGCATGCTGAGTTTAGAAAAAGCCTAAGATAGGAAGAATCCAGTGAGCAACTCATACTAGCACTGAAATGAAAGAATTACACTACCAGTTGTGCAGATGTGCAGGATCATACTTGCAGTTTTTCATTTCTACATTGAATGAATGAGCCTATATTGACTGATTAAAAATTTAAAAAAATACATCTGAAATAATATCATATTCATGCATGGCATAAATTCATGGGCCAAGTAGTCACCATTGTGTATGGATCACCAGATGGTTGATCTAGAAGAGGACGGGAGGCAGTCCCCACTTTAGCAATACGCCTAGCAAGAGCGTCCAAGGGCACATCCAACCAAACAGATAGGCCCTTCTTCATGTATTTCCTGATAATACAACAAAGAGATCACAATATTGTTAATCAAAATAAGAGAAGCCACAAAATAAACTATTCCAACAGGAAAAATAGAAGTGAACTCCAGATACCAGTTAACTGGTCGGATAACAGCACCACCTCCAGTAGCAACAACTAATCGCTTCATTGAGGACAAATCCCTCAAGACACTACTCTGTAATGCATAAAAGAGAGCCACAGAGAAAATAATCAGTCTCAGATTTTCCTTCTGATAACTACAAGTAAACAAATGCTAAGATAGTAGATCATGTTAGCAGAAGATGGATTCAGAAAAAAAGATTACCTCATTATCCCTAAAGAAGGCTTCACTATGAACCTTGAAAATTTGAGCGACTGAAGGCATGCCCACAGCTTGTTCGACCAATTTATCACTGCAAACAATTCCAGAAATATAAAAGCTTAGATTACCATGAGCACCAAGGGCAAGATCTCCTTGGCAAATAGCAAAAATACAAACCTATCAAAGAACGAATAACCCAAAACTTCAGACATGATCTTTCCCACAGTACTTTTTCCAGAACCCATCATTCCTGCAGACATGTTTTAATTTATCAACCAGAAATTCAGATGCCATCTATATATTGATCTTTTTCAGTGCTGATAATTTGGAGGAATGAGAAGTTTCAGAACTAACCAACTAGGTAAATACACCGTCCATTCAAATAGAAGAGAACTTCTTCTGATTTTCTCTGAAAATAAAACAGATGGTTAGAACATAGAGTGATGGAAGAAAACAAGCAAACTCCAGTGTCGCCTTTGATTTGATTATGCAGTACCTTTAGCAAGAGGGCTTCATCAACCGAGTTATGCAATGTTTCATGACCTGCACAGGAACAATATAACGAGGAGCGTCAATTTGTCTGAAATTTGTGAAGACATAAATCACACCTCGTGGAATTTTCAGGATTGGCTTGATCTAGAAGGACCAATCATAGGCGAAACTTCATCTCTTCCTACCTTTCCAATAATAATCCCAATCAACCTATCCATTTTGATCAATCTAATCCGAACAATAGGACTCAAAATCTGAACCAAAATGGACGCCATAGCAAAAGCAAACAACAGAAAGAGGCACAACTTTTGCAGTATTCGATCCATTCGAAGCCAGCCTTACCACCTAATTCCTTACTTGCAAGCTTTTTTTTTTTTTTTGACCGAATCAACGCACCCGTTCCATGTGTTCCTCCAAATATCAACAATCCCGATCGACAAAATCGGACACACACAAAAAAAGGGCCCAAATGGCGCCAGACCGCCAGTTCGTCCAAAACAAAAACACAAACTTTTGCCAAATCAACCAATCTGACAGAACGAAGAAGAAAGGCAGCGACCCTGTACCTCCGGACGATTTCTTGGCACGGAGCGGGGCGACCGGCTTGGACCCGCGAGCCCACACAGCGGCCTTCGCCACCGCCGGCTCAGCGACCCTCAAGCTCCCGATCCGCGCCCGCCCCTCGCCGCCGTAGAGCGCGCTCCGGCGGCGGTCGGAGCCGCCGAACCCCGCCGCCCGCGACTGCAGCGCCAGCCCCACGCCCGCCTCCATTGCTACGCGGCGAGCTCCGCAGCGGAGGTAGAGAGAGAATTGAAGAGGAGAGAGAGAGAGAGAGGCGAGAACCGGGGGCGGCGGCGAATGGTTGGAAATGTGGGGACGTAAAATAGTGCGGAGGGCGATGCCGGACCGGCTAGACGCTGCCGAGTAGTTGCGTAATTTTGGAGAGGAAATTACACATTTGTCCATCATCCTTTGACTTAATCTTGGCTACCATATGCAATAATTGTAACAATAATTGTTGTTGTCATATGTAAGGGAAAACAACGTACTCCTATCCTATTCTACGCGAAAATAAGTATGAGTATATTATCATTTATCCTCGTGCATAATATAGTGGAAATACTTAAGTTGTTTGTCTGAACAAGACATAACGATCATATACTCTTCTCATATTTTTGTTGTGCCTCTTCTTTCTTGGTCTATTGCATATTTGTCCTCCATTTTCTCACCATGGTGTATGGGTGCTCGCTTATTACAGCTCTATCAGTAAGGTTTAAACGATCTACGATTCTATTATGTTGTTATATTTATTTAAATTAAATATTATTATATTCCAATGGTAAATATATATATGTTTCAACAGTTAATATTCGATAATTAGTATACAAGAGCTAATTGTTTTAGCGAACATTTTGTAGTATTTCACATATCTTTTAAATGTTTTAAATGATTTTTTTACTTTATGATGATCAACTGCAACATTTTATCACCTTTTTTTCATCATATCAGGTGTTTTACACCTAGTCGTTCTCATGATATGGCGTCTTCATTGGGTGTAGAAGTAGACTTACATAAAAAAACACAAATCCCCCAAAAATAGATCCAATAG